CATCGCTAAGCGAAACACGGTTTCCCATAGAAATGCATTGAAAACCGGATAATCCATTCCAATGGGAACGGATTGCTGTCCTTAAGCGAAAATCACCATAGGAAACATCGCTAAGCGAAACACGGTTCCCCAATTGAAGTGCATTGAAACCTATTCAGTGCATCTCAATGGGGGGAAAATTACAACAAATTTAAAAAGAGTCGGAACAAAGTCAAATTAGTTTAACAAATGGGTTATTAAGTGCACTTATGATTTCAAGCATTCTAAACTGTTTTTAAACATTTTTAAACATTTAAAAAACAGCCAACATGAGGCTGTCAAAACCATCGTTAAGCGAAACAGGGGGACCCAAACTGTCATCGCTATGCGAAGCATGGTCCCAAACATCGCTATGCGAAAATTGCCCATAGGAACCATTGTTAAATGCAGCGCAAGATCGCTCCGAAAAAGTCATCGCTAAGCAATTTCATCATTAAACGAAGCAATCGCTAAGCGAGGCACCACTGTATACTACACAGTAAATATGTGCCTACATTAGCCAAATATTCTTCCTTTAAAAAAAAGATAATATAAATTTCTGCTTAAGGAGTTTTTTTCAAAATGATTATAGACAGTATCAAAGTACAGCTTTGTTCACATGACCCGTGTGAACCAGCTGTATTTTTCTATAAATGAACAAATGAATACTGCTATCAGGGGCTTTGATTCTGGAGCTCATGAAATGTAGAATTTTGGATTTCATATTTTGTCACCAAGTCGGCTACAAATATCTGATATTGTGTCAGCAGGAACAACTGCTTTGCTAGAAATAGTGCTTACCACATTTTTCTGTGACAGGCATTTTATGTTAGACTGTGCTATATTTGTTCTTTAACTTCTTGGGAAAGTAAATATACTGCTTCTTAATTTGGTATTCTAACTGTGATACTTAATGTAATCTGTGATAACATCGTCCTGTTCTTCTGTGTAAATTACTAAAACAATTTTGCCCATTTGAGTACAGGAATTGCTTGAAAACTGGCAGAGTTACAGCTCTGTACTTCAGTTTTTGTAATGGAAATTCCTACTCCATGCAGTGAAAGATGCTGTGGTTCAATCAGTAGAGAGTGACTGATGGTGATATACAGTGTGATTTACTATGGTGTTAATCTCAACAGTAAACATAGATATTGTGTTTCTTTTCAGAAAAATGCCCACCATACAGATATGAATTATTCTCTTGTGCAAACCTTATTTACTTTATCTTATGGTTTAATGTATACCCTTATCTCTAATTCCAGAAACGCCGTCTTGAAAACAGTAAAAATATAAATACAGAAAAGCTAAGAGCACCTGTTATTTGTGTGCTTGGACATGTAGATACTGGAAAGACGAAAATCTTAGATAAGGTAAGGCCCATATGTGTCTCACTGCTGTTTAAACTTAAAGCATATAGTAATTGGAAGTGCTGAAAGTTTTGCAAATCAAAATTCCAGTGTTGCCGAGTGTATATTGATTGGCTTATCAGGACCATTGCTTTCCTCCCATAATAGATCATTTTGCTTTCTTTCATGCAGCTCCGTCATACTCATGTGCAAGACAGTGAAGCAGGTGGCATCACTCAGCAGATTGGGGCAACTAACGTTCCTCTTGAAGCCATTAATGAACAGGCAAAAATGGTGAAGACTGTGAGTATGATCTTTCATAGGACTGAATGTATCCCAGCAGGAACTACTATTTTAGGTTACATGGCCTCAGGGTTTTTCATTTCCGATACATGTAAACAAGTTTTGCTGGCATTTGTTTGTTGTGTACTTAGAATAGAATCTTTTTTTCAAATGTCTTTCTTGTCTTGAAATAGGTTCATGTGCATGTGAGATGTAGGTCTGCTATTCAAGTGCCAGCTTGAATCGCACAGAACACTAAAATGTTTTCTGGTGGGGTGCTTAAAGTGTCACCTGCAGGTGGCCTTCCCCCCCCCTTTATGTGTCTCCCTGGGCCTCTCCAGAAAAAAAAAATCCTGGGTAGGGGTGAGGAGCCCAAGACCCCCAAGGACCAATTGAGTCTTCCCCCAAGATTCTCCACCAGTCTAATGCAGGCATACTGGCTTTGTGTTATTTCTAGTCCACAGAGGGGCTTGAATTTGTCCCTTAAGTCTTCTTCACACACTGACCTCTGTTGTGGAGCCTCCCTCTATACCTGAAGAAACTTTCCAGATGCATCAGGATTTCTGAAAACTACCTTACTTTTTACATAGAAAATTATAAATACGGTAATCATGGTTGCTAAGATGTTAAAAACGTAGTATCCTGGTTTATTAAGGAAATTGAGCTCTTTATCCACTTTGGGAATTACTGATCTTATGATACTTCTGTTGCAAGCACTGCAACAAAAGCTGCTGATCTTGAGGATGAACTGCATCAAGTTGCGGAAAGCTAAGTAGTGTGTGCTTTCATATATGGGCCTTTGTCATTCAGTTGCTCCCTACTTTGAGTTAATGGATCCTAAAGTATTATGACCTTATATGTTTGCAAGAGAGCAGAGAAAAATGTTTTAAATAAATGATTATTTGGAAAAATGTTATATTATTATCTAAGGTTTGGTCTTAGTGACAAGCTAGCTAACATTTTTAATGTTAGTTTGACAGAGAGACTGTCAAGATTCCAGGAATGCTGATCATTGATACTCCAGGACATGAGTCTTTTAGGTAAGGTTCTATTGTGCTCTTGTTTGTGTGTGTATTCTTATGTATGCATGTATCTAAATCCTTTTATACCTTATAGTATACAAAAATCGACAACAGAATCAGAACTTGATTGTAGATGTTTTAATAAGTTTCATTATTTTAGCTTTTATTTTTAATAATGTCACCAAATATATCAGATGTTCTACTCGATAAAATTCATGTTAGAAGACTTGGCTTTCCTTGGCAAGCCATTGAAAATGCCTTTCTGACAAATTTCTGCCTTTATATATATGTGGACTACAGTGGTGCTTCACTAGACGATGATAATCCGTTCCACTGAAATTGCTGTTTAGCGAAATCATTGTCTAGCGAAAAGCATTTCCCCATTGGAATGCATTGAAACCTGTTTAATGCGTTCCAATGGGGAAGAATCGTCGTTGTCTAGCAAAGATTGGCCATAGGAAAGCCGCTTTGTGAACTGCTGATCAGCTGTGTAAATCGCTGTCTTGCGAAGCTTAGGTCCCAAAAACACCTGTTTGTGAACGCGGAGGGAGCTGTCAAAATCGTTGTCTAGCGAAAATCAGTTTGTGAAGCAGAGACCAAATATTGTCCAGTGAAATTCCCCAATAGGAATCACTGTTTTGCGAATCGCTATAGAGATCGGAAAAAGCCAATGTCTAGCGAAAAAACTGTCATGCGGGGTAACTGTCTATCGAGGCACCACTGTATATATATATAGTGTTACTTCTAAATGCACCATCTTTTTAATGATGTAAGCTGCCCTGGGCGCTTTTTAGGGGAAAGGCAGACTGAAAGTGTTTAAAATAAAATCTGTTTCCAAATGTTACAGCAATCTTCGAAATCGTGGAAGTTCTCTGTGTGACATTGCAATTCTTGTAGTTGACATCATGCATGGTTTGGAACCACAGACAATTGAATCGATAAACCTGCTAAAATCTAAAAAATGTCCATTTGTAGTTGCACTCAACAAGGTAATACAGCTTTTTACTGTGCCCATTATGCAGAGGGGCTTTCAAAGCTGGGGAAAAAGTTTTGGTAGTGATAATTGTTTCTGGGTCTGTGTATTTCATGTGGATTCTCCATCTTGACTGGCCCTTTTGTTAATTTCAACAGAAGTGGCTGATTCGTTATGTCATTTAAGCATGGGGACTCCCTGTTTATATACTTAAGCTCTCTCTCTTTCTCTCTTTCTCTCTCTCTCTCTCTCTCTCTCTCTCTGTGTGTGTGTGTGTGTTTGCAAGTGCAGGTGTCTGGCTGACTGGGATGGCTGATATAGGCGGTGTACAAGGGTGTACTTCTTAATTTGCTTGCTTGATCCTTACAAGTTCTATTGGTTGTATGGCGCTACCTGAATAAATCGGTGATGTTTGGAATTTTGTTTTTCTAGATTGATCGATTATATGACTGGAAGAAGAGTCCTGATACTGATGTAGCGGTAACTTTGAAGAAACAGAAAAAAAACACTAGAGATGAATTTGAAGAGCGTGCAAAAGCTATCATTGTGGAGTTTGCCCAGCAGGTCAGCTTATTTTAATAGTTAACTTCAAAGGCATTTTTTGAAGTATACATAGTGTTTTACTCTAGAAGGGGAAAAAAAATCAAAACCCCAAGCCCACTGGCCTTGAGGAGCTTATGGTTGAACATTGGATAACTGGAAGAGGATGTGACAGAGCAAGCAAATGTATTAGATATTTGGATTGGCAGAATTTTGACTGGTCTTACTGGAACCTCCTCAAAATTTCTGGTCAGGATTTCCCGTTGCAGGAGGAAAGAAATCTCATCCTTGACCATATGCTTTGCCCTTAAAAGGCCACAAAAGGCCTGGAGAAAGTGTTGAGCTCCTCTTTTGTACATTATGTTTGGAGGTCTGCTTCTCATTTCCAGTTCAGATCAGATGGCAGAGATACCTTGGTTTTCTCTGGGCTCAGTTGGTCAGAGGACTAGGCTTCTTCTCAATCTGTTTCTGAACTGAAGGCGGAAGCTTGTTGTGACTTTGCACTTGCCATCAGCAGGGCCAAAACTAAAAGCACCCCCATAGTTTAGCCAAATTGTTGGGTTTAAAGGGGGTGGGGAATTGACTTATCTTCTGTAGCTCCGGGGTTCAATTCCAAGATGGCCTCGTGCGGCCCTCAACATGGAGCAGAATTGTTGGACCTGAATTCTGTATACTGAAGCTTCGTGGTAGGGAAAAAGGCTTCTGAGTTAAGGGATGGGAATGTGAAAAAGATGAATGTTTGAAGGAAAATTTAAAGGAAGTGCAGTGGTGCTACAGAAATATTTTGGAAATGCATGTCAGTATTTATAGCTACTTGTCATAGGATTTCTTAGGTGAGATGACATTTTCATTTGTTTTGAATTTGAATTAGGGAACAGATAATGTGTTTGCATTTGTCTTGTATTTTATTTATACCAATTAGATTATCTTTCTATTTTGACTGAAGCTGGGTTTTTTCTTAATGCCTCTTGCTCCTTTCATTAATGAGGTACTTGTGGTTTTAGGGCCTGAATGCTGCCTTGTACTATGAAAATAAGGATCCCCGCACATTTGTTTCTCTGGTTCCTACCTCTGCCCATACTGGAGACGGCATGGGAAGTCTAATAGCCCTTCTTGTGGAGCTGACACAAACAATGTTAAGTAAGAGGCTGGCACACTGTGAAGAGCTGAGAGCTCAAGTTATGGAGGTAACTGGATTTGTCTCTGTCTCTCATACTTCTTGATTCGCTGAATCAAGGTGAAACATTGATTGTGTTTGTCTTTTATCTCCTAGGTAAAAGCACTTCCTGGCATGGGTACTACAATAGATGTCATTTTGATTAATGGGCGCCTGAGGGAAGGAGATACTATTATAGTTCCTGGAGTAGAAGGTCCTATAGTTACACAGATAAGAGGGCTCCTCTTACCTCCACCCATGAAAGAACTCCGAGTGAAGGTATGAAAACTGTATTTGGAAAAAGATTCCTAAAAGTAACTGTTGGTACCTAGAGATATTTAGCACTACTGCTGGGAGTTCCTGCTGTCCCCCCAGCCCACCTCCCTGGAAATTAACTCATACTGCAGTCCTGCCCTGGTGGCCTCCATTTTTACCTCTACTGCTTCCTGCTATACTGCTCTTGGCAAAAAAATAGAAAGTAAATCAGATTCTCAGTCCAGAATAACACATGGATATTGATAATGTGTGCAGGGATTATAATAATTTATGCTTGACTTTGTGAAGGATGGCATACAAATATTTGAATATATTATACTGGCTTTTGTTATTCAAGTAAAATGTGCTCTAATTTTTGCACATTGTTTTACTTTTTCTGCCAAGCTCCTTCCTTTTCTTGGCGTTAATTTTTGCTGCTCTTCCACAGGGCTAGATGCTCAAGGCATAGTTCTTATACAAATTTATTCTGTTTTTATAATTTAGTATTCACTTGTATCCATTCACCGAGTTTATAATTGGCATAAGATTGCTGTTGTGCAGCAAGAGAACTGTCTCGGCCTCCTGTGAAGTCCTGATATGGCAGCATAGCCTCTTACTGTTTCATGTGGTGATGCAGTGGTGGCCAAACCTGCGTTTCCCTGTCCTATTCTCTTGGAAGTCTGGTATGACACTGTTTGGAGAAATGGCTGATCAATGTAACATCCATGGTTTCCTAAGACCTGAGCAACCTGGAACTACTTCAGTATATTCTTGTTCTAGAAGATTTGCCATTTGGAGGACTTTGGAATGAACTCCAAATCACTCATTCATGGAATTCTTTCATAATGGATAAGTCACTATGTGGAACCATTATACTTGGGGTCCTGTGACATGATTGACACAAATAAAATGCTGAGAATTTTTAGCAGCACTTTGAGGAACAAAACCACAGATGACACATGGTAAACTCTTAAAAATAACATGATAGGTGTTTAAATTTATATCTCTGTCTTCTTAGAACCAGTATGAAAAACACAAGGAAGTTGCTACTGCTCAAGGAGTGAAGATTCTTGGAAAAGACTTGGAGAAAACATTAGCTGGTTTACCTCTGCTTGTAGCCTACAAAGAAGATGAAATTCCAGTTCTTAAAGTAAGATACAGATAATATGCACCAGCACCACAATGGAGTATTAGCAGTCAGAAAATACCAATGGAGATGATTGGGTGGTTTTGAGTTAGAACAACCAAGGACAAATCATTATAAATGTCAAGAACAAAATAAAAATTTGAGGAGGAATAAGGAAAATATATCTTTGATTTTAATTTGAAATCTTAGCTTTGTACTCCAGATAGTTTACATACTGTATAGTTAGAAAAACAGTAGTAATGTAAGCAGAATAGTGGTTCATAACTTATGGGTGGGGACCTGCTTGTCTAGAAGGACATAATGGTTGCTTTAAAATAGCCGTAATATCATTGGATATCATGGATTGCAATAAGATGCATGGACCCATTATTGTGTTTCTAGATAAACAGAGTTCAGGTTGCATGTAGTATTAACAAAATGTTTAGTATAATATTATGGCCTTCATTCAGGAGTTTTAGAACTGAGTAAGAATTGGGAGCAGAAATCAGTGCTGAATTTTTGGATGTTTTAGCTGGCCTGTAAGTGCAACTCAACCCATAGGATTTGCATAGGATTTGAATCATCTGCTACAGAAGTAAGGTTCCCAGTGTGGTGTACTGGAGACAGTGACAGATGAGGACTCTGGAGAGCAGGGTTCAAACCCCCACTTGCCCATGGAAACTCACTGGGTGGATGGAACTGTTGAAACTACTTAAATATGGCACTGACATTGAAAGCCCTATTGGAGTTGCTATAAATCTCACTGACATTGAAAGCCCCATTGGAGTTGCTATAAATCTTGATAGCACAGAACAACAGCAAACAGAAGTATCGATAGCACAGAACAACAGCAAACAGAAGTAGAAAGGTTTCTGGAATTATGGCTTTGATAGTGAAGTATAGTATTTCTGTCTAAAACGGGAAAAACATGCAGCCTCCATTATAATTTTGAGCCTTTTTCCAAAACATGCTACCAAATGCTGGCAGCGAACCACCCGAAGATGTTGAAACAAGCGGTTTCAACGTCTCGTAGTGGGTTTTCACACTTGGCCATTGAATTTTGACAGAGAGGAGGAACTGGCCCCAATTGCCCACTCTTGACATAAATTTTCTATAAAGTGATGTGTTTAGGGCTAGCCCTATTGTGAATGGCTTTGCTAAGCTTCTCTTTAGAATTTTGCTAATGATGTCCACATAAGTTCTGAAACTAGATAAACTAAATTAAGAAGGACGTCTAAAATACACTGTTGTTTATGTTACAAGGATGAACTAATACATGAATTGAAGCAAACATTGAATGCTATAAAGTTAGAAGAGAAGGGAGTTTATGTCCAGGCGTCCACTCTGGGTTCTTTAGAGGCATTACTTGAATTTCTGAAAACGTCAGAAGTGCCAGTAAGTACCCATTTTCCCCCTTGGCTGTCATACATTGCTGTTCCCTGGGTTGCAGTGTATTACTGACATGGAAACATTGATTTATCACAGGCTGCTTTTCCTCTTTCTCTCTCTCCTCACAGTATGCAGGAATTAATATAGGTCCTGTTCATAAAAAGGATGTTATGAAGGCATCAGTAATGTTGGAACATGATCCTCAGTAGGTACCTTTTCTAAAATGTCATAATGCTAGCAAATATGTGACCCAGTTCCTGTGATTTTTTTTTCCTCTTTAAATCTCATATTTTGCAGGTGTGTGCGCTTCTAACTTCATTTTTATTCTTCAAGGTATGCTGTCATCTTGGCATTTGATGTGAGAATTGAACGAGATGCCCAGGAAATGGCTGATAGTTTAGGAGTTAGAATATTTAGTGCAGAAATTATCTATCACTTATTTGATGCCTTCACAAAATATAGACAAGACTATAAAAAACAGAAGCAGGAAGAATTCAAGTAAGTCATGCTTTCATGCCTAATCTTTGCGGTGTTAAAAAATAAGTGTGAAAATCATGAGAAAGGCTTGTTTGTCTCTCCATGTGATAGGAAATTAAAATTCCTTTTCTCTTGGCTGCCTTAAAAAAACACAGTACCCAATATAACTGTGCAGGAAGTTCCTGCAGGCCTGCTAGTTATTGAAAAGATATAGTACAGCAGGATTATCTGAAAATATGTGTCTGTGGTTTGGGAACTGTTTTTAACTAAAATATGGCAAGGTGTTCCTGTTATTGTGGGTCATTCATTTTGGCATATCTAAGATAACATAAAGTTATTTTATTATACAGGAGAACTGGTGATTTTCAAATCAAATGTGAGTAACTTTTTTTTGTTCTTCCCACTTTTAGGCATATAGCAGTATTCCCTTGTAAAATGAAAATACTTCCTCAGTTTATTTTTAATTCCCGTGATCCCATAGTGATGGGTGTCCTTGTGGAAGCTGGTCAGGTAAAACAAGGAACTCCTATGTGTGTACCTAGTAAAAATGTGAGTATTTCTGTTTGCTTAAAATAAGTCTTAACTGTTGTTACATTATGTTCCTTTGTGTATTGGCCAGGTTCACCATTTTTGCTCATTTCTAACTTCCTTGATAAAATGACGAATGGAGTGTGTGGGAGGATGGGTTGATAACCATCCAGAAATTGTTGCCTGTGATAACCTCTGATGCTAACAGCAGAGAAAAATAGTAACAGTTTGTGCCAGGAGTATGTTAAAAGCACGGGTTATATGATAAATTTCCCCTTTCATCTGAACTCGCAGAATACTCATTTTTATTTATCTTCAAGTCTTATGACGAGAGGGATGCATTTTCTGTAGTTATGAAATATATGATTGAAACCAATGCTCGAGATTCCAAAGCCTTCCTTATGTGAACTGGATATTGATTATCTAAAACTATTAACTAAAATTCTTTTGCAGCATGTTTTTTTTGTAAATATAAGCATATATTTTCTGCATTCAAGGAATTGCTTCAGTACCCGTGTGGGGAGGATTCTTACTGTAGGTTTTTCCAGCATAGTCCTGGCTACTTTGTGTTACTCATAATATGAAAAATGTGGAATTGTTGAGGCTTTTCATGCACTTGGAAGTGAATGTGAAAATCCAGAAAGATTTTCTGTTGCACATAATATGCAACATTTGCTTGAAGCGATACTGAATCTGCCTCAAGATCTGCTCAGAAGCTGTAATTCTTTTTTCTTTATTTAAGAATTACAACAAATAAAAACCCCAACTAAAATATAACAAACGAAACAATATATAAAAGTACTTACAAGTCTAACCAAATTCAGAAAACATTGCCTCTTCTAGTACTCATAACTTTATGGTTTTTTGCCTGTTGTAGTCCTCATAATTTTGTCCTTTTATAAGCTCATGTTAATAATAAACTTTGAATGCTTTGAATTTTCTGTATTCCTACTGCAGTTTATTGATATTGGAATCATTACAAGTATTGAAATAAACCACAAACAAGTGGATGTTGCAAAAAAAGGCCAAGAAGTATGTGTGAAAATAGAACCTGTTCCTGGTGAGGCACCTAAAATGTATGGGCGACATTTTGAAGCTACAGATATACTGGTTAGCAAAGTAAGTCCTTTTGCTTTCCTTACCTTCTAAAACCAGTGAGATGTAAAGTGTTCTCTTGACCAAATCAAGGTGAAGCGGCAGGGCAGGCCCTTTGGAATGGAACAGTTTTCAGCTGGAAGACTCTTGGCCACTACTGCTTTTTTGCTGTCCATGAGCAATCTAGAGTCAAGAAGGCTTTTGGCAGTTGAGGATTATGGCCACACTAATTTTTGCTTTGGGGTGTCTGGGTTATGAACTTTTTGTGATGTTGAACTGAGTTCAGGAGGATATTAGAGTGGCTGAGTCAGGGAACATCTACCAAACATCAAACAAGTTTGATCCCAGTTGATCTGGGACTGATTCCACATCAAGTAGAGTTGGCCCTACTTAGTTCTTGAGTGGGAGATTATCAGCTGTATCAGGCTGACCTGTAGTTAATTGGTAAACAGTACATGGCTTGCATGCAGAAAATCCCAAGCTCGGTCCTGGATTTCTCCAGATAGGGCTAGGAAAGAATCCTGTTTGAAAGCTGGAAACTCCTGCACTACCAAATTTTTTCTTCCTGTTTCTTGGGGCTTTTTTGTTGTAGATATTGATACTGTTATAGCCATCTTGTGGGTTTTAGTCTGAAATGGGTAGGCAAGCTCTGTGGATCTAGAGGCTGGTTTCACAACTCCTAGAACCCACCATGAATTATGCCAGCCCTAAAAAAGCTTTTATAGCCTATTTTCTTCTGGACTAAAACCATGAGCAATAAAAATTTAGTGGCTTTTTGAAGTGGGAAGAGAAGATTGAAGGACTGGTTCTGCTAAATTGAAATAGTTTTTATTTTTGTAAATAGGTGAGCATTTGCTTTCCTTGCCTTCTGAAATCAGTGAGACATAAAGTGCAAGCATATGCTTGAATCTAACTAAAAAGAGAATTATCCTTCAACAGCGGGTATTAGAGCCTTATCCCTCTCCCTCCCTCTGGGGGAAGATTTGTGCTCATCAGCCCTCCAGCAGGAGAGCTCTGACATCAGAAGACGGGAGGACTGGAACATGATATAGATGGGGTACAACAGTTTTCAGATCTGCAGAGTCCAAATCCACCTTAGCCCCTGGCTGAGACACAAATAGGTAGTTTAGTCAAGCTTTAGAGTCAGCCTAAATAGTCCCTATTCTCTCACAAGCAGTGGGAAGGCAATAATTGAAAGAAAAAGCAATGAAGAATCAAGCCCCCACTGATTATGGTACACGCTGACTGAACTGTGAATTGCCGTCTTGGCTGCTGAGCACAGTCTTAAGTATGCCTACATACATCCCACTAAGGTTATTGAGGACTTCCAAGTGGATGTAAGATTTCAGTCTTCAGCTACACAATATACAGTGGTGCCTCACATAACGAGCGCCCCTTTTAACGATGAATCCGCAAAGCGATTGCATTGCAATGTTTCCTATGGGGAAAAATCACAAAGCGATTTTTCCCCATAGGCCCCTGGCGGGCGCTTCGGAACAGCCACAGGGGAGGGCTGGCCAAGGAGGAATCGGCTCCCTCCTTCCACTCAGCCCAACGCGCAGCGGACTTTGCATCAGTTGCAAGGAGGGAGCCGATTTCCTGCTGGC